CCACAGACTCACCACACAGAGACCCACAGACTCACCACACAGAGACCCATAGACTCACCACACAGAGACCCATAGACTCACCACACAGAGACCCACTAGACTCACCACACAGAGACCCACAGACTCACCACACAGAGACCCACAGACTCACCACACAGAGACCCATAGACTCACCACACAGAGACCCACTCAGTCACACACTCACCACACAGAGACCCACAGACTCACCACACACAGAGACCCACAGACTCACCACACAGAGACCCACAGACTCACCACACAGAGACCCATAGACTCACCACACAGAGACCCACAGACTCACCACACAGAGACTCACAAGACTCACCACACACAGAGACCCACAGACTCACCACACAGAGACCCACAGACTCACCACACAGAGACCCACAGACTCACCACACACAGAGACCCACAGACTCACCACACAGAGACCCACAGACTCACCACACAGAGACCCACAGACTCACCACACAGAGACCCACAGACTCACCACACAGAGACCCATAGACTCACCACACACAGAGACCCACAGACTCACCACACACAGACCCACAGACTCACCACACACAGACCCACAGACTCACCACACACAGAGACCCACAGACTCACCACACAGAGACCCACAGACTCACCACACAGAGACCCACAGACTCACCACACAGAGACCCATAGACTCACCACACAGAGACCCACAGACTCACCACACAGAGACCCACAGACTCTCCACACACAGAGACCCATAGACTCACAAAGAGACCCACAGACTCACCACACAGAGACTCCCACAGACTCACCACACAGAGACCCATAGACTCACCACACACAGAGACCCATAGACTCACCACACACAGAGACCCATAGACTCACCACACACAGAGACCCACAGACTCACCACACACAGAGACTCATAGACTCACCACACACAGAGACCCATAGACTCACCACACACAGAGACCCATAGACTCACCACACACAGAGACCCATAGACTCACCACACACAGAGACCCATAGACTCACCACACACAGAGACCCATAGACTCACCACACACAGAGACCCATAGACTCACCACACACAGAGACCATAGTCTCACCACACACAGATACCCATAGACTTACCACACACAGAGACCCATAGACTCACCACACACAGAGACCCATAGACTCACCACACACAGAGACCCATAGACTCACCACACACAGAGACCCACAGACTCACCACACACAGAGACTCATAGACTCACCACACACAGAGACCCATAGACTCTCCACACACAGAGACCCATAGACTCACCACACACAGAGACCCATAGACTCACCACACACAGAGACTCATAGACTCAGCACACACAGATACTTATAGACTCACCACACAGAGACCCATAGACTCACCACACAGAGACCCATAGACTCACCACACAGAGACCCATAGACTCACCACACAGAGACCCACAGACTCACCACACAGAGACCCATAGACTCACCACACAGAGACCCACAGACTCACCACACACAGAGACCCACAGACTCACCACACAGAGACCCATAGACTCACCACACAGAGACCCATAGACTCATCACACAGAGACCCATAGACTCACCACACATAGAGACCCATAGACTCACCATACAGAGACCCACAGACTCACCACACAGAGACCCACAGACTCACCACACAGAGACCCACAGACTCACCACACACAGAGACCCATAGACTCACCACACACAGAGACCCATAAACTCACCACACACAGAGACCCATAGACTCACCACACAGAGACCCATAGACTCACCACACAGAGACCCATAGACTCACCACACAGAGACCCATAGACTCACCACACAGAGACCCACAGACTCACCACACAGAGACCCACAGACTCACCACACACAGAGACCCGTAGACTCACCACACAGAGACCCATAGACTCACCACACAGAGACCCACAGACTCACCACACAGAGACCCATAGAATCATCACACAGAGACCCACAGACTCACCACACAGAGACCCACAGACTCACCACACACAGAGACCCATAGACTCACAAAGAGACCCACAGACTCACCACACAGAGACCCACAGACTCACCACACACAGAGACCCACAGACTCACTCCCACAGAGACCCACAGACTCACCACACACAGAGACCCATAGACTCACCACACAGAGACCCACAGACTCACCACACAGAGACCCATAGACTCACCACACAGAGACCCACAGACTCACCACACACAGAGACCCACAGACTCACCACACAGAGACCCATAGACTCACCACACAGAGACCCATAGACTCATCACACAGAGACCCATAGACTCACCACACATAGAGACCCATAGACTCACCACACAGAGACCCACAGACTCACCACACAGAGACCCACAGACTCACCACACAGAGACCCACAGACTCACCACACACAGAGACCCACTAGACTCACCACACAGAGACCCATAGACTCACCACACAGAGACCCATAGACTCACCACACAGAGACCCATAGACTCACCACACAGAGACCCATAGACTCACCACACAGAGACCCATAGACTCACCACACAGAGACCCATAGACTCACCACACAGAGACCCACAGACTCACCACACACAGAGACCCCTAGACTCACCACACAGAGACCCATAGACTCACCACACAGAGACCCACAGACTCACCACACAGAGACCCATAGACTCACCACACAGAGACCCACAGACTCACCACACAGAGACCCACAGACTCACCACACAGAGACCCATAGACTCACCACACAGAGACCCACAGACTCACCACACAGAGACCCACAGACTCACCACACACAGAGACCCACAGACTCACTCACACAGAGACCCACAGACTCACCACACACAGAGACCCACAGACTCACCACACAGAGACCCATAGACTCACCACACAGAGACCCACAGACTCACCACACAGAGACCCACAGACTCACTACACAGAGACCCACAGACTCACCACACACAGAGACCCACAGACTCATCACACAGAGACCCACAGACTCACCACACAGAGACCCACAGAATCACCACACAGAGACCCACAGACTCATCACACAGAGACCCATAGACTCACCACACACAGCGACCCACAGACTCACCACACACAGACCCACAGACTCACCACACACAGAGACCCACAGACTCACCACCCAGAGACCCACAGACTCACCACACAGAGACCCACAGACTCACCACACAGAGACCCATAGACTCACCACACACAGAGACCCACAGACTCAACACACAGAGACCCATAGACTCACCACACAGAGACCCACAGACTCACCACACAGAGACCCACAGACTCACCACACAGAGACCCATAGACTCACCACACACAGAGACCCACAGACTCAACACACAGAGACCCATAGACTCACCACACAGAGACCCACAGACTCACCACACACAGAGACCCACAGACTCACCACACAGAGACCCATAGACTCACCACACAGAGACCCATAGACTAATCACACACAGAGACCCACAGACTCACCACACACAGAGACCCACAGACTCACCACACAGACACCCACAGACTCACCACACAGAGACCCATAGACTCACTCACAGAGAGACCCACAGACTCACCACACACAGAGACCCACAGACTCACCACACAGAGACCCATAGACTCACCACACAGAGACCCACAGACTCACCACACACAGAGACCCACAGACTCACCACACAGAGACCCATAGACTCACCACACAGAGACCCATAGACTCATCACACACAGAGACCCACAGACTCACCACACACAGAGACCCACAGACTCACCACACAGACACCCACAGACTCACCACACAGAGACCCATAGACTCACCACACAGAGACCCACAGACTCACCACACAGAGACTCATAGACTCACCACACAGAGACCCACAGACTCACCACACATAGACTCACAAACTCACCACACACAGAGACCCACAGACTCACCACACAGAGACCCATAGACTCACCACACAGAGACCCATAGACTCATCACACACAGAGACCCACAGACTCACCACACACAGAGACCCACAGACTCACCACACAGACACCCACAGACTCACCACACAGAGACCCATAGACTCACCACACAGAGACCCACAGACTCACCACACAGAGACTCATAGACTCACCACACAGAGACTCACAAACTCACCACACACATAGACCCACAGACTCACCACACAGAGGCCCACAGACTCACCACACAGAGACCCACAGACTCACCACACACAGAGACCCACAGACTCACCACACAGAGACCCACAGACTCACCACACAGAGACCCACAGACTCACCACACAGAGACCCACAGACTCACCACACACAGAGACCCACAGACTCATCACACAGAGACCCACAGACTCACCACACACAGACCCACAGACTCACCACACACAGAGACCCACAGACTCACCACACAGAGACCCACAGACTCACCACACAGAGACCCACAGACTCACCACACAGAGACCCATAGACTCACCACACACAGAGACCCATAGACTCACCACACAGAGACCCACAGACTCACCACACAGAGACCCACAGACTCACCACACAGAGACCCACAGACTCACCACACAGAGACCCATAGACTCACCACACACAGAGACCCACAGACTCACCACACAGAGACCCATAGACTCACCACACAGAGGCCCACAGACTCATCACACAGAGACCCACAGACTCACCACACAGAGACCCATAGACTTACCACACAGAGACCCATAGACTCACCACACACAGAGACCCATAGACTCACCACACAGAGACCCACAGACTCACCACACAGAGACCCACAGACTCACCACACAGAGACCCACAGACTCACCACACAGAGACCCACAGACTCACCACACACAGACCCACAGACTCACCACACACAGACCCACAGGAGTGAGCTCTCCGCTTGTTGATTCTCCCCGCTTGGTGCGGCACGCAGGAGGAACGCTGCGCATCAGCAACGCGAGCGAGAGCCACGCGGAGACCTATCGGTGCAACGCCAGCAACCGCGTGGGCTGGCGGTCGTGCGTCGTGACCCTCTCGCTCGTGAGCCGTGAGTCTGCCTCTCGCTACGCACGCGGGCGCCACGCGTGTGTGTGCGTGTGTGTGTGTGTGCGTGTGTGTGTACGTGGTCCGGCAAAACAACCCCCTACTTCCTCGCGGTGCCGGACGGGCAACTCTGTCGTGGACAGTGCTGTGGGGGGAGATCCAATTTTGATTGGCTCCTCCCCTCATGGCATATGTGTCCACCACAGGGGCTAAACGGGGGCTCTGGACGGGTGCGAGGGGCTGGTAACCCCTCCACCTTCAATTAATTACCACGAAACCACGAATTAAACTGAAATATGTAACTAATAAGCTTGTGCCGGAGGCCCCGGGGGGCCAGGCGTCTATGACGTCTCCTGGCCAAACCCCAATTGGCGGAGCCAGGAGATTGAATACCTACCCTCGGGGCTACTCCAGAAACAACGAAAAGCCACTACGGGTGGCCACGTGGAATGTTCGAACGCTCACTGCAGAGGAGAGGCTGCCACTCCTCTGTCGGGAGCTGGACCGGTACCGCCTGGATCTATGCGGCATTCAGGAGGTCCGGTGGACCGGCTCTAGCTCCTGCCACCATGAGGGGTGGACAGTCCTCTACTCGGGGCAGCAGACTGCCAAACAACAGGATGTGGGTCTTCTTTTGAACAAAAGAATGAAGGGGGCGTGGGAGCGTGGCGGTGAGGTGTGGGAAGCTGTAAGCCCCAGGCTACTTTGGGCTCGCCTTCCCATCAACCGGAGGCGAGGAATGGTGGTCGTGGTTACTTATGCCCCCACCGAAGATGAACATCCGTGGAGGGATGCAGGCAAAGCCGATGAGTCAGATGCCTCTATGACCTCCTGTCACAGGTGCTGGCTAAAGTGGCCCCTCGGGATAGTCATCATGTTGGGTGACTTCAATGCCCGAGTTGGTCATGATACTGGCACCTGGTCTGGAGTGATTGGAGGGCATGGGCCAGATCAGCTCAATAACAATGGTAGGAGGCTGCTAGATTTTTGTGCAGCCCATGGGCTTGTAATTACCAACACGCTGTTCCGGCATCGGCGCATCCACACAACATCATGGATGCATGCCGGGTCCAAGCAAGAACATCTGCTGGACTACATAGTGACGGACCAGCGAATGCAAGCCCATGTCCTTGACACCAGGACCTACTGTGGAGCTGAACTGCCCTCTGACCATCGACTAGTCATCTGTAAGATGCGCCTGCCATTCTTCCACTCCGGTGGTGGGTGTACACCCAGGACCCCATTCCAACATAAAGTGGCCTGGTCTCAGTTATCTGATGAAAGTTGCAAGCGAGAATTTCATCATCGCTTGCGGCTGGGATTGGCATCGTCCCCGACTCCTCCTGATGTCGAGGGTAAATGGGCGAGGTTTAGGACTGTGACTCATGCAGCTGCAATGGCTGCTTTGGGTACGCGGTCCAGACCTCCCCAGAGACCCTGCCTAACAGAGGAGGTGTTCAGGATGGTTGAGAAAAAGCGACAGGCCCACTGTCATCGGTTACAGAATCCCACGTCAGAGAATGAGGAGGCTTACCGCAGCCTTCGCTCGGAGGTTCGGAGAGCCGTGAGGCGCTGCAAGGATGGGTGGTGGTCGCGGGTTGCTGAGGAGATGGAGTCTGCCTCAGTGGCCCGTGATCACAAATCTCTATTTAACTCCATCAAAAAAGTAACCTGCAGCGCCACACCTATTACCATCATTAGGGGAAAAAACGGTGATCCAATCTCCGACCCCCAGGAACAGGTTCGCAGATTTGCTGAGCATTTCTGTGAGGTCCTGGGGGAGGGAAAATCCCTCAGCCAGGAAAACATCGTGGCACAAAGTGAGGATGACCCTGCTGAGGCTACGGTGCCTCAAATATTGGAAGAAGTCACCCCCTGTGAGTGGCTGGCTGAGGTGCCGTCTGCTGAGGAAGTATTGAAGGCGATCCGGAGTCTGAGACCAGGAAAGGCAGCGGGCAGAGATGATCTCCCAAGCGAAATGCTGAGGGAGGGTGGCGTTTGTGCACAGACTGCCCTATATGACATCATAACAACAGTCTGGACCACTGGACGGGTTCCGCAGGATTGGAAGGATGCCCTGGTGGTCCCCCTTTTTAAGAAGGGGGACCGCACAGACTGTAACAACTACAGGGGCATCTCACTCCTCAGTGTGCCGGGAAAGGTCCTGGCAAGGATTATTCAGCATCGCCTTGCCAGGCACGCTGAGGAGAGGCTTGCGGAGCCCCAATGCGGTTTCAGGAAAGGGCGGTCCTGCACAGATGCCATATTTTCTGTCCGTCTGCTACAGCAGAGGTGTAGGGAATTCTAACAAGACCTACATCTCTGCTTTATTGACCTGGTCAAGGCCTATGATACCATCAGTAGGCCTGGGCTCTGGGTCATTCTTCGTGCTTTTGGAGTACCTGACCCTCTGCTCACGATCATTAAGGACCTTCATGATGGTGAGCGGGCCCGGGTAAAACTACGTGGCCGGGAGTCAGAGCCATTCCCTGTACACCTTGGGGTGCGACAGGGATGTCCTCTGGCTCCTACATTATTTAACATCTATTTTGACCACGTAGTTCGTGAAGCCTTCAATAGCTGTACCGGGGGAATCTCCATATGGTACAGATATAATGGGAGGCTAATCGATGCCCGGGTGCGGTCAAGGGATGGCTCCCTATTGCTCAACCACGTTATGTATGCTGATGATTTGGTAATAGCTGCTCAGTCAGAGGAAGAGTTGGATATGCTGCTGCTGAGACTGGAGCTAAGAGGTGGGGCCTTACCATCAGCCCCACCAAAACTAAGCACCTGCCTGGGTATTTTGTACCATCGGACACTCCACCCCCACAACTCCCAATCGGTGATGGGGCAGTTGTGGAGAGAGTGGAGAGTTTCCCATACCTGGGCAGTGTGCTTATGACTGGCTCCAGTTTAACAGCAGAGGTCTCACTCCGAATCAGTCGAGCGGCAATATCTTTTCATCGGTTGCGTAACGTTGTGTGGAAGCTACCTGGTCTGTCGCTCCGCACTAAGCTTCAGGTCTTCTCGGCCACGGTCATTCCCTCCCTTCTCTACGCTTGCGAAACGTGGATCCCCCTAATGGAACATCTTCGCCTGTTAGAAACATTTAGGCTGGCCTGCCTACGATCCATCCTGGGTTTAACCAGACTGGATTGTGTGAGGAGCTCACAAATCCTTCGAAGATCTGGGCAGGGTCCCATCGGTGAGCTCCTCCGGCAGGCAAGGCTGCGATGGCTGGGTCATGTAGCCCGCATGCCCAGCCACCGCATGCCGAAACAGCTTTTGTTTGGCCGGATTGAGGGGGCTCAGCGGGCGCGGCACGGGCTAGAGAAGAGATGGAGTGATGTGGTACAGGAGGACGTGGAGCTGAGTGGACTTGCCGATGACTGGTACCAGCGGTGTCAAGATCGGCCTCTGTGGAGGAGGCTCGTGAAGGATGCTACTGGGCAGTTGGAGGCAGTCGCCCTCCAACAACAACGGAGGGCGGAGGAGCGACGCTCAGAACAACGAGCGGAGCGCCGGGTGGCTAAAGCACAGCAGGTTGGCACAGTAGGGGGCACAGGTGGTGCATCAGGCAGTCATCTCAGTCAGTCGACCCGTGGCACCTGGGTCTGCCCCGTGACCTCCTGCCAGCGGGCGTTCGACACTTCACGTGGCCTCAGGGTACACATAGCCTGGCACAAGCGTCGTGGTGACGTCACCGCCACTTAGTGGCGAATGGCGGTTGTTGTGTGTACGTGTGTGTGTGTGTGCGTGTGGCTGTGCTACGAACCCGGCGACCCGGGGTTCGATTCCCGCTCACGGCCAACACCGCCGGTGACCATTATCTGAACCGGTCCCTGGGCCTCCGCTCGGTCGACACGGCCTCAAATGAGTACCTGGTGCGGTGTGTAAACATCGCCACTGGGGAGACAAAGGCGGCCGGGCGTGGTGCTGGCCACCCACCCCCTCGTGTACCGTTCCGGCTTTCATAGCTACTGCTGCTCGCTAACAGCACTTGCCCCTACAGTCTGTTACAGACAGCACTTTCCCCTACAGTCTGTTACAGACAGCACTCGCCCTGACAGTCTGTTACAGACAGCACTTTCCCCTACAGTCTGTTACAGACAGCACTTGCCCCTACAGTCTGTTACAGCCAGCACTTTCCCCTACAGTCTGTTACAGACAGCACTTGCCCCTACAGTCTGTTACAGGCAGCACTCACCCCTACAATCTGTTACAGACAGCACTTGCCCCTACAGTCTGTTAGAGACAGCACTTGCCCCTACAGTCTGTTACAGACAGCACTTTCCCCTACAGTCTGTGAAGGTTACGCGTGTGTGGGTGATCGTGTCGTGTGCAGCGAGCGCTAACGCCGGCGTCGTGACGGGCGCCGTGATGGGCGTGCTCCTCCTCCTCGTCGTCGTCGCCGCCATCGGCTTCCTCGTCCTGTACCCGCTGCTCAAGCGCAAGGCGGCGTGGGACCGAGACTACCGCCACAACGACATCCGGTGAGGGCCCACCCGCTCGCTCGCTTGCCCGCCCGCTAGCCCGGGCCGCCCGCTCACTTGCTTTACCCGCTCGCTTACCTGCTCGCTCGGCCACTGACCCACTCGCCCACTGACTCACTCACCCACTGACTCACTCGCCCACTGACCCACTCGCCCACTGACCCACTGACTCACTCGCCCACTGACCCACTCGCCCACTCGCCTACTCGCCCACTCGCCCACTTGCCCACTGACTCAGTCGCCCACTGACACACTCGCCCACTCGCCCACTGACCCACTCGCCCACTCGCCCACTGACCCACTGACCCACTCGCCCACTGACTCACTCGCCCACTGACCCACTTGCCCACTGACCCACTCGCCCACTGACCCACTCGCCCACTGACCCACTCACCCACTCGCCCACTGACCCATTCGCCAACTCGGCCTCTGACCCACTCGCCCACTGACCCACTCGCCCACTGACCCACTCGCCCACTGACCCACTCACCCACTCGCCCACTGACCCATTCGCCCACTCGGCCTCTGACCCACTCGCCCACTGACCCACTCGCCCACTGACCCACTCGCCCACTCGCCCACTGACCCACTAGCCCACTGACTCACTCGCCCACTGACTCACTCGCCCACTCGCCCACTGACCCACTCGCCCACTGACCCACTCACCCACTCGCCCACTGACCCACTCGCCCACTGACCCACTGACCCACTCGCCCACTGACCCACTCGCCCACTCGCCCACTGACCCACTCACCCACTCGCCCACTGACCCACTCGCCCACTGACCCACTGACTCACTCACCCACTGACCCACTCGCCCACTGACTCACTCGCCCACTGACCACACTCGCCCACTGACTCACTCGCCCACTGACTCACTCGCCCACTCGCACAGCTGCAGCAGCAGCGTTGGTCCGAATCTGCCTGAGATTCTCGGACGGTGACAGTCGGAGGACAAACTCCAGCAAGTGGAAGCGTCCGTGTGTGTGTGAGCATCAACTCGCTGAGCCCCTGCCCTCACTGCACCTCGGTGAAAGAGAGCTTCAGAGCTCATCGGATTCCTTTCCTCCTACAGCCTGAATACACATTCTTGATTCTGAGATTCTGAGCAGTCGTGACTTTAACAGATGGACGTTTGTCTGATCCCCTCCCTCACCTCCCTCCCTCTCTCCCTCACCTCCCTCACCTCCCTCACCTCCCTCACCTCCCTCACCTCCCTCCCTCTAAATTTCGATTTAAAGCTTTCGTAACTGCAAGGATTCATCTTCTTTGGTTCTTTCGGTAAAGTCACGTAGAATGAGAATAAAATAATAAATTGATCAAATGATATAACGCAATAATATTCTCACGACGTTTCGGCCACAACACAAGCGGCCTTCATCAGGTGAAGGGACGAGACTGTCTGGTAGGACAGCGCTGGAGTGAAAAAGCCACGTTCAGATCACGACCTTTAAGCTGTGTGAGAGGAAACAAAGCGCCTTGACAAAAGAATTAGCATATAATTTAGCATTGAAATGGCTGAGTGATTAGCTTGTGACTGGTCACAGAAATGGCTATGTTAAAAGTTAAAGCATACACATCCGCAGAGGCACCCCTTGACAAAGGAATTAGCATAGAATTTAGCATTGAAATAGCTGAGTGATTAGCTTGTAACTGGTCACAGAAATAGCTATGTTAAAGTCAGAGCATACACATTCACCGAGGCACTTAGTACAAATCAAACAGGAGAATTTAGCATTGAAATAACTAGGCGAATTTAGCATTGAAATAACTGAGTGATTAGCTAGTGACTGGTCACAGAAATGGCTATGTTGAAGTCAAGGCCTACACATCTGAGCTATTCACAGTACTATATAGTGAACCAATAAAAAACTAAAATATAAATTACCTTAATGTTATCAATAAACTCTATATTCTCCAATCAGCTAAGCTACCAACAATAAGTCGTTATATATCACAATGCTATATGGCGAAAAAATGGGTGGATTCTTACCCTCAACTTTAGCAACACGGATAGCTACGGGTCCCGTTCAGACGGACGAGTTCATCCATGGTCGGAACAGAGGAGGGGGAGAGAGACAGCTGTGAGGCGCTATTATACTCCATGTTGTAAACCATACCATTAACCGTGGTGTGAGAGGTATTAAGAGTCAAGGCTGACGAAAGAGCTGCGGTCTGAAGGTCATCGTAAAATACAATTAATTAAGAACAGAAATGGTTTTAAACATCTTTCCAATGGTTACTAAGCCAGAATCCATCTTCTCGGTTGAAATTGTCTCTGTGCTTGTATATGTGAATGGCCTCATGAACGAATCTCTCATGGTAGCCGGTTGGTTTGCAAAGAACCTCCGTCTTGGAGGAGTCAATGTCATGTGAGCCCACTGAATTATAACAGTGATCTGCCACGGCAGAGGAGTTCGTTCTACCGTGTTTCAAGTCTGCTTTATGTTCGCGGATGCAGTCCGAGATATGTCGTTTGGTTTCTCCAATGTAGCTACTACCACAGAGCCACTTTAGTTTGTAAACGCCCGGGTACTGTATGTCTGGAACAGCACCTTTTACAGATGGAACTAAATCACGGATTTTATGTACTGTGTTGAATCGGACCTGGATCTTGTGTTTATTCAGGATTTTGGAGATCTTTTTAGTGACCCCTGCAATGTAGGGTAAGGTGATGGTTTTGAGTGGCTCCACAAGAGGATCCTTCTTCATGACTGGAGTGATGGCTTTGCGGATTGTGTAGTCGGAGTAACCATTAGCCCTGAGAGCCTGGTGTACGTGCTTGAGTTCACTGGTAATGTGTTCCTGGTCGGAAATGCATTGGGCTCTATGGTATAGAGTCTTGATGAGGGAGTTCTTCTGGGATGGATGGTGGTGGGAATCCGGTTTCAAGTAAGCATCTGTATGGGTAGCTTTCCTGTAGACAGAGTGGCTCATTGAACCATCATGTCTCCTTTTAATTAAGACATCCAAAAAGGGTAGTTTGCCATCTTTTTCGACCTCCATGGTAAATCTGATGGCTGGGTGTATGGAATTGATGTGGTCGCGGAATTGGTCTAGAGCAGGCTGGCCATGTGGCCAGATGACAAAGGTGTCATCAACGTACCTCTTCCATAAGGTCGGGCGTAGAGTGGCAGTCTGGATGGCGTCAGTTTCAAATTTTTCCATGAATTCGTTGGCTACAACCGGAGATAGGGGGGAGCCCATTGGCGTGCCCTCAGTTTGTTTGTAGAAAGTTCCATTCCAGGTGAAGTATGTGTTGGTTAAGCAATGTCTCACCAGGGGGGGTACATCATTATGCAGTCCTTGATGAACCAGGTCTTCAATGATAGCGATGGTGTCAGGTACCGGGACTTTGGTGAACAAGGACACCACATCAAAACTGACAAGCAGGTCGTCTGGGGACAGGGAAATGCCTTTGATTGTCAATACCAGGTGAGTAGAGTTTAGTACCGCAGAGGTGGTTTTACCAGTGAAAGGTCGCAGTATATCAGCAAAGACGAACGTTTTGAATTATCTCAATTAAAAAAGAGGGATGATATTGTCGTCCTCTCAGCCGACAAGGGCAATGCCACTGTCATCATGGACAAAACAGAATATAACAACAAAATTCAAGAACTACTCAACGATGGCAGCTATACAAAAATAAAAAGAGATCCCACCAACAGCCTGGTCACCAAAACGAACAAAATCATCTCTGATTCAACAGCATTAATTGATGAGATCAAACAGTTCTCGTTGAAACCCTCTGCTGCCAGACCACCAAGATTATATGGCCTTCCAAAGATACACAAAGAAGATACACCCCTTCGTCCCATCGTCTCTACTATCAACTCCCCCACCTACAAACTGGCACGTTTTCTTGCTGATATACTGCGACCTTTCACTGGAAAAACCACCTCTGCGGTACTAAATTCTACTCACCTGGTATCGACAATCAAAGGCATTTCCCTGTCCCCAGACGACCTGCTTGTCAGTTTTGATGTGGTGTCCTTGTTCACCAAAGTCCCGGTACCTGACACCATCGCTATCATTGAAGACCTGGTTCATCAAGGACTGCAAACTGATGTACCCCCCCTGGTGAGACATTGCTTAACCAACACATACTTCACCTGGAATGGAGCTTTCAACAAACAAACTGAGGGCACCCCAATGGGCTCCCCCCTATCTCCGGTTGTAGCCAACGTATTCATGGAAAAATTTGAAACTGACGCCATCCAGACTGCCACTCTACGCACGACCTTATGGAAGAGGTACGTTGATGACACCTTTGTCATCTGGCCACATGGCCAGCCTGCTCTAGACCAATTCCGCGACCACATCAATTCCATACACCCAGCCATCAGATTTACCATGGAGGTCGAAAAAGATGGCAAACTACCCTTTTTGGATGTCTTAATTAAAATAAGACATGATGGTTCAATGAGCCACTCTGTCTACAGGAAAGCTACCCATACAGATGCTTACTTGAAACCGGATTCCCACCACCATCCATCCCAGAAGAACTCCCTCATCAAGACTCTATACCATAGAGCCCAATGCATTGCCGACCAGGAACACATTACCAGTGAACTCAAGCACGTACACCAGGCTCTCAGGGCTAATGGTTACTCCGACTACACAATCCGCAAAGCCATCACTCCAGTCATGAAGTAGGATCCTCTTGTGGAGCCACTCAAAACCATCACCTTACCCTACATTGCAGGGGTCACTAAAAAGAGCTCCAAAATCCTGAATAAACACAAGATCCAGGTCCGATTCAACACAGAACATAAAATCCGTGATTTAATTCCATCTGTGAAAGGTGCTGTTCCAGACATACAGTACCCGGGCGTTTACAAACTAAAGTGGCTCTGTGGTAGTAGCTACATTGGAGAAACCAAACGACATATCTCGGACCGCATCCGCGAACATAAAGCAGACTTGAAACACGATAGAACGAACTCCTCTGCCGTGGAAGATCACTGTTATAATTCAGTGGGCTCACATGACATTGACTTCTCCAAGACGGAGGTTCTTTGCAAACCAACCGGCTACCATGAGAGATTCGTTCATGAGGCCATTCACATATACAAGCACAGAGACAATTTCAACCGAGAGGATGGATTCTGGCTTAGTAACCATTGGAAAGATGTTTTAAACCATTTCTGTTCTTAATTAATTGTATTTTACGATGACCTTCAGACCGCAGCTCTTTCGCCAGCCTTGACTCTTAATACCTCTCACACCACGGTTAATGGTATTGTTTACAACATAGAGTATAATAGCGCCTCGCAGCTGTCTCTCTCCCCCTCCTCTGTTCCGACCATGGATGAACTCGTCCGTCTGAACGGGGCCCGTAGCTATCCGTGTTGCTAAAGTTGAGGGTAAGAATCCACCCATTTTTTCGCCATATAGCATTGTGATATATAACGACTTATTGTTGGTAGCTTAGCTGATTGGAGAATATAGAGTTTATTGATAACATTAAGGTAATTTATATTTTAGTTTTTTATTGGTTCACTATATAGTACTTTGAATAGCTCAGATGTGTAGGCATTGACTTCAACATAGCCATTTCTGTGACCAGTCACTAGCTAATCACTCAGTTATTTCAATGCGAAATTCGCCTAGTTATTTCAATGCTAAATTCTCCTGTTTGATTTGTACTAAGTGCCTCGGTGAATGTGTATGCTCTGACTTTAACATAGCTATTTCTGTGACCAGTTACAAGCTAATCACTCAGCTATTTCAATGCTAAATTCTATGCTAATTCCTTTGTCAAGGGGTGCCTCTGCGGATGTGTATGCTTTAACTTAGCTATTTCAATGCTAAATTCTATGCTAATTCCTTTGTCAAGGGGTGCCTCTGCGGATGTGTATGCTTTAACTTTTAACATAGCTATTTCTGTGACCAGTCACAAGCTAATCACTCAGCCATTTCAATGCTAAATTATATGCTAACTCCCTCCCTCTCTCCCTCACCTCCCTCACCTCCCTCTCTCACCTCACCTCCTTCACCTCCCTCACCTCCCTCACCTCACCTCCCTCTCTCACCTCCCTCACCTCCCTCACCTCTCTCACCTCCCTCACCTCCCTCCCTCACCTCCCTCACCTCCCTCACCTCACCTCACCTCCCTCACCTCCCTCCCTCATCTCCCTCACCTCCCTCACCTCCCTCACCTCCCTCCCTCACCTCCCTCACCTCTCTCCCTCACCTCCCTCACCTCCCTCTCTCACCTCACCTCCTTCACCTCCCTCACCTCCCTCCCTCCCTCACCTCCCTCACCTCCCTCACCTCCCTCACCTCACCTCACCTCCCTCACCTCCCTCCCTCACCTCCTTCAGCTCCCTCACCTTACCTCCCTCACCTCACCTCACCTCCCTCTCTCCCTCACCTCCCTCACCTCACTCACCTCCCGCACCTCACCTCCCTCACCTCACCTCCCTCCCTCACCTCCCTCACCTCCCTCACCTCCCTTTCTCACCTCCCTCACCTCACCTCCCTCCCTCACCTCCTCACCTCCCTCCCTCACCTCCCTCACCTCCCTTTCTCACCTCCCTCACCTCACCTCCCTCCCTCACCTCCCTCACCTCCCTCACCTCACCTCCCTCACCTCCCTCACCTCCCTCACCTCCCTCCCTCACCTCCCTCACCTCCCTCACCTTACCTCCCTCACCTCCCTCACCTTACCTCCCTCACCTCACCTCACCTCCCTCTCTCCCTCACCTCCCTCACCTCACTCACCTCCCTCACCTCACCTCCCTCACCTCCCTTTCTCACCTCCCTCACCTCACCTCCCTCCCTCACCTCCCTCACCTCCCTCACCTCACCTCCCTCACCTCCCTCACCTCCCTCACCTCCCTCCCTCACCTCCCTCACCTCCCTCACCTTACCTCCCTCACCTCACCTCACCTCCCTCTCTCCCTCACCTCCCTCACCTCACTCACCTCCCTCACCTCACCTCCCTCACCTCCCTCACCTCCCTCCCTCACCTCCCTCACCTCCCTCCCTCACCTCCCTCACCTCACCTCCCTCCCTCACCTCCCTCACCTCCCCTCCCTCACCTCACCTCACCTCCCTCACCTCCCTCCCTCACCTCCCTCACCTCCCTCTCCTCCCTCACCTCCCTCACCTCCCCTCCCTCACCTCACCTCCCTCACCTCTCTCACCTCCCCTCCCTCACCTCACCTCCCTCCCTCACCTCCCTCACCTCCCTCACCTCCCTCCCTCACCTCCCTCACCTCCCTCACCTCCCTCTCTCACCTTCCTCACCTCCCTCACCTCCCTCTCTCACCTCCCTCACCTCACCTTCCTCCCTCACCTCCCTCACCTCACCTCCCTCACCTCACCTCCCCCCCTTCTTCACCTCACCTCCCTCACCTCCCTCACCTCCCTCCCTCACCTCCCTCACCTCCCTCCCTCACCTCTCTCACCTCCTCCCTCACCTCCCTCACCTCCCTCTCTCACCTCCCTCACCTCCCTCACCTCCCTCCCTCACCTCCCTCACCTCCCTCACCTCCCTCCCTCACCTCCCTCACCTCCCTCACCTCCCTCACCTCACCTCACCTCCCTCCCTCCCTCACCTCACCTCTCTCACCTCCCTCCCTCACCTCCCTCACCTCACCTCCCTCCCTCACCTCCCTCACCTCCCTCACCTCCCTCACCTCCCCTCCCTCACCTCACCTCACCTCCCTCACCTCCCCTCCCTCACCTCACCTCCCTCCCTCACCTCCCTCACCTCCCTCACCTCACCTCCCTCACCTCCCTCCCTCACCTCCCTCACCTCCCTCACCTCCCTCACCTCACCTCACCTCCCTCACCTCCCTCCCTCACCTCACCTCCCTCACCTCCCTCCCTCACCTCCCTCACCTCCCTCACCTCCCTCCCTCACCTCCCTCACCTCCCTCACCTCCCTCACCTCCCACCGCAGGATTGACGACTGCCCCCCCGTGTCGATGTGCCGCCCGCCCACGCCCGCGACCCGCGACCCGCCCGGCACCGGCACCTCCGTCGGCCTCCCGGCACCGGCGCCCCCCGACGGCCTCCCGGCGCTCCGCCGGGCCCTGGGCGGGTCGCCCCACGGGCGAGCGGAGGGCCGCGCGGGGGCCGGGGCCTCCTCCGGCGCGAGGGGGGGGGAGAGCGGCCCGTGAGAGCGTCGCCGTTCCGTCGTGCGGCGGCGACCTCTCGGCTCGCTCCCGGTTCTCGGAGGGGGGGGGGGCGGGGGTGGGGGGGGGCTTGTGGGACGGCGAGCGAGAGACCCCCGAAGCCCGATTGAATCGGCGGCGTCGGGAGCCCTCCGTTGGCGTCGCGTCGCGGACCCGGTAAACGAAAGCGACGTTTCAAACGAAGGCGGAACGACGCGTCAGGCGGCGAACGTCGTCGCCGCCGCGAATCGCCGAACGGTAATCCGGAGAGAGAGAGAGGGAGAGTGGGTAGCGGTGGGGGTGGTGGCGGTTCCGGTTAGACGTGCGATCACGATTTCAATTTTGTCAGCGCGTAGCTCCCAGCGGCGAACGTGCCGCGCGCCTCTCTCGCCCGCCTCCCCCTCCACCCCGACGCGTGATCGGTCGATGGTGGAATCGGCAGGGCGGGCGGGCGAGCGAGTTGGGCGAAAGGTTTGTTCAGTGTCGGGGGGGTTCCGGATTAGAGAATCGAATCTTAAAATCTGTCGATTTTTGCTTTAAAAAATAAATAAAAAAATTGCACAATTTAACCCCGCGGCTTATCGCGAGCCAAACCGCCGTGCGGCAGACGAGGGGGGCGTGGCCTGTTGGGGTGGGCGGGGCACGGCGAGGGGGTTTCCGGCCTTCGCGAGGCTGCAATTGGCTTGTCGCGGGTGACTCCGTCCGCTCGCAAGCGAGTTTGGGTTCCAGAGGGGCCGTTCCTGAAGTCGCTTTGTTGGCGAGCCCAAAATTTGGTTCGCGAGTCCAACGTTGAGCCCCGTCGATTCGCTCGCTCGGCGCGGCATCGCAAGCGGGCGGCGGTGGTCGGCACGCTCCCGGCAACGGCGCCGCATTCCGCGGTATAACAGGCGCGTAGCGACGGGACACGTTGTACACGGTGACGGTGCACGTTGTACACCGTGACGGTGGTGATGGTGCACGCTCTACACCGTGACGGTGGTGACGGTGCACGTTCTACACCGTGACGGTGGTGACGGTGCACGTTCTACACCGTGACGGTGTCACGCTCTACACCGTGACAGTGCACGTTGTACACGGTGATGGTGGTGACGGTGCACGTTCTACACGGTGACGGTGCACGTTGTACACCTTGACGGTGGTGACGGTGCACGTTCTACACGGTGACGGTGCACGTTGTACACCGTGACGGTGGTGACGGTGTACACAGTGACAGTGTCACGTTCTACACCGTGACGGTGGTGACGGTGCATGTTCTGCAACTTGCCGTGTTGCTGTGGAGTTTCGTGTCGAGCTGAGGGGGTGGGAGGAACCCGCATTGAATAGAGAAGGGGGGAGGCTGGGGGGGTGAGTTGCCTCTTGTGGTCTGGAAGTTCACCGGCCTTGCCTCGGGCGAAGCCTCTGGGCGTCACACACAGTGACGCTTTTTCCTTTCGTGTTGAACCCAGAACACGGTGGGTCACGGCGGTGGGTCAAAGTCAACGGGTTCCTTTAGGAGGCTTTCACGACCGATATCATCCGCAACGGAGGTGTTTTGGGGGTTAGACGGCGTGAATATTTAAACGCGTCGTGAAAGACCCGCCAACCACCGGACGTAGCCGACGAGCAAGGGTTGTCAACGTCAACAGAACGTGGCAAAATTCGTCACCGGTTGTGCGCGTGTTTGATTGTGCACAGTCGTCTATTCGTTTCGTTGTTTTAGTTGACGTCATTAAATTTTTACGCGGAAATTTGCAAAAAAATGTATTCCGTGTCAACGCTCAAAACAAGTGGTGTGTGGGGTGCACAGTCGGTGGTGGAGATTCCACATCCCTACTGGGGGAGGGGCAGAGCCAAGCCACAACATTTACAATCCGAGTGCCGTGACGTTTCGCCAGTAATTACAACCGGCTTCATCAGGTCGACAGCCAGACTTGTGGAGCAGTCCACCAGTTTCGTTCCTTGTACGTAGCCGGCCGTGCGCTAACCGGAGGTGCGGAGCGGTGGCGCAGCGGTTAGCGCCACGCTGCACTGCGAACCCGGCGACCCACAGTTCACTTCCCGCTCACGGCCACCGGCACCGGCGACGATTTGTTGTCATCCGGTCCCGGGCAACCCCCTAGGTCGACTTAGCCTTACATGAGTAACCTGGTGCAGTGTGTATACATCGGCCTCGAGGGAGACAAAGGCAGCCGGGCGTGGTGCCGACCACCCACCCCCTCTTGTTCTGTGCCGGCCTTCGTAGGTGCTGCTCGCTACACTGGGGGTCTTTGTGTGTGGGGTAGCACCAGGACTAGATGTGTGGAATCTGTCCACTTTTGGCTGGGTTGGCAGTGGTGAGCAACTTTGTGGGCTAGTGGTGAGCTATTCTCTCTGTGTGCCAGTGGTGAGCTGTTCTCTCTGTGTGCCAGTGGTAAGCTGTTCTCTCTCTGTGTGCCAGTGGTGAGCTGTTCTCTCTGTGTGGCAGTGGTGAGCTGTTCTCTCTCTGTGCCAGTGGTGAGCTGTTCTCTCTGTGTGTGCCAGTGGTGAGCTGTTCTCTCTGTGTGCCAGTGGTGAGCTGTTCTCTCTGTGTGTCAGTGGTGAGCTGTTCTCTCTCTGTGTCCCAGTGGTGAGCTGTTCTCTCTGTGCCAGTGGTGAGCTGTTCTCTTTGTGTGTGCCAGTGGTGAGCTGTTCTCTCTGTGCCAGTGGTGAGCTGTTCTCTCTCTCTGTGTGTGCCAGTAGTGAGCTGTTCTTTCTGTGTGTCAGTGGTGAGCTGTTCTCTCTGTGTGCCAGTGATGAGCTGTTCTCTGTGTGTGCCAGTGGTGAGCTGTTCTCTCTGTGTACCAGTAGTGAGCTGTTCTATCGCTGTGCCAGTGGTGAGCTGTTCTCTGTGTGTGCTAGTTGTGAGTTGTTCTCTCTCTGTGTGCCAGTGGTGAGCTGTTCTCTGTGTGCTAGTGGTGAGCTGTTCTCTCTGTGTGCCAGGGGTGAGCTGTTCTCTCTGTGTGTCAGTGGTGAGCTGTTCTCTCTGTGTGTGTGCCAGTGGTGAGGCCGTCGCCGTGCCGGTGAGTGGGTTAATCCGGCGTCTGCCGTTCCTCACCGCCCCCCAACGTCGCCCCCCACCCCGCCACGCCTCGTGTGCTGCTCTGTACAGCTCTCACACTAACAACAACTATTCTCTCCGCCTGATGAAGGCCGCTCGTGTTGCCATCGAAACGTCGTGGGCTTTTTTGGCTTATGTTATTTTCCCAGTGATTATTTAACATTTTTACTATCTAATTTTTGCCGCGTTATTTTTATTTTCTATCTACCGTTACTTCATCGAAAGGACCAAGAATCACCAATAAAACCCTCAAGGCCGTCCCGTGTCTCTCCGTGTCTCTCTGTGTCTCTCCGTGTCTCTCTGTATCTCCGCGTGTCTCTCTGCGTATCTCTCCGTGTCCTTGTCTCTCCACATCTCTCCGTGTCTCTCCGCGTCTCTCCCTGTCTCTCCGTGTCTCTCCGCGTCTCTCCGTGTCTCCGCGTGTCTCTTCGTGTCTCTCTGTGTCTCCGCGCTTGCTCGCTGCGCGTGGAGCGACCCGCGTCACAGACTCACGCGCTATCTTCCTTTCTCTTCGCCGCCCGCCCGCCCTTCTCTGTTTCTCCTCCTCCTCCCTCTCCGTGACCTCGTAGCCCATCGAGTCGACGAGCGACGAGCGGCCAAATTCAACGGCGCGCCGGCCAGCGGGGTGGAAGGCCGGACACACTGGACATACAGGGGAGGGTCGTGCGTGCGGGCGTGTGGGCGGGCAGGCGGGCGGGCGGGCTCGAGTTCCACTCACTAACTCACCCGCTCACCCACTCACTAACTCACCCGCTCACTCAGCCATCCACTCACTCACCCAACCACTCACCCGCTCACTCACCCGCTCACTCACCCGCTCACTCACCCATCCACTCACCCACTCACTTACCCAACCACCCACTCACCCACTCACCCACCCACTCACTCACCCACTCACCCACCCACCCACTCACTCACCCGCTTACTCACCCGCTCACCCGCTCACTCACCCATCCACTCACCCACTCACTCACCCAATCATTAATTTTTTCCCCCCAAAGACGTCCAGCAGGGGCACGGGGCGTCAGTGAGTGCCACCGACAGTCGGGTCGACATTCTCGTCACAACAGACGGTCACGTGGGCTGGCGGCACCTGACGACGGCACGTGGGCCAAAACATTGGACACCGCATTTGGTAGAATCGGGTGACATTGCTCATTGCTGTGCCAAGGTGCGACTCGAAGTGGTCTAAGTAGTGGCCAAACAGCGGAATAAAACCCATCGCATTTAGAGGATATTGTCCCTTGTGATGCTTTGAATGTTGAACTGTGTCCATGTACATACAGAACAGAACAAACATACTCGTGATTAAAAAACACAAACATTAAATTCCGATTTAAAGCTTTCGTGACTGCAAGGATTCATCTTCTTTGGTTCTTTCGGTAAAGTCACCACCACGTAGAATGAGAATAAAATAATAAATTGATAAAATAATAAAATAACAATAAAATTCTCACGACGTTTCGGCCCAAACACAGGGTGATGCCACTTCAGGTTGTCCGTTAGTTCTGCAAGATATAAACCCCACGGCGAAAGGTCTCGAGACCTCCCACGAGGCACAAATCAGACCGCGCGGCGTTGCAGCGGCGGTTTCTTATACGAACTACTCAAAATGTTACCTATAGCAAAGTCTTTTTTTAAATGAAAAAACATTCTCATGTCCAGCTGCCTGGTGGGGTGGCGCCCCACCGCCCCCTAGTGGACTAAGTCAGACACCACCCCCACTGCCCCCTAGTGGACTAAGTCAGACACCACCCCCACTGCCCCCTAGTGGACTAAGTCAGACACCACCCCCACCGCCCCCTAGTGGACTAAGTCAGACACCACCCCCACTGCCCCCTAGTGGACTAAGTCAGACACCACCCCACTGCCCCCTAGTGGACTAAGTCAGACACCACCCCCACTGCCCCCTAGTGGACTAAGTCAGACACCACCCCACTGCCCCCTAGTG